GTCCACCCCTGCCTGTTCCTGTAGGCTCCTCTGTTCTGTTAGACTGGTCCCTGCAGCCTCTTCTCCCCCCAAACTCTAACGGGTTCATGCCGCTGACGTCATCAAGACCGATGCAGGACCAGTAGCTCTGTATCGGACAAAAGGACACTGCTGCAGCATTGGGGAGCGTCATTTGCCGTGGGAGCTGAGGTTCAGGTAAGCAAAGCTTCATAAAGTCCTCTAAACTAAACAAGCAAACTCAATCCACAGATCCGATCCATCCTGCAGGGATCATCGGAGGGGGGTGACACCAACCCTAGGGACTCCTCTGATCCCAGGTATACAGTTGTGCTCAAAAGTTTCCCTCCCCTGACAGAAATTGTGAAATTTTGGCATTGATATTGCAAATATGACTGATCATGCCAAAAAATGCTCTTTTATTGAAGGATGATGATCATATGAAGCCATTTATTATCACACAGTTGTTTGGTTCCTTTTTAAATCATAATGATAACTATGGGCAGCACAGTGGCTAAATGGTTAGCACTTCCGCCTGGCAGTACTCGGGTCGTTGGTTCGCATCCCAGCCATGGCACCACCTGCCTGGAGTTTGTATGTTCTCCCTGTGCTTGCGTGGGTTTCCTCCGGGTACTCCGGTTTCCTCCCACACTCCAAAGTCATGCTGGTAGGTTAATTGGATCCTGTCTATATTGTCCCTAGTATGTGTATGTGAGCTAGGGAGCTTAGATTGTACACCCCCTGAGGGTTAGGGACTGATGTGAATGTACAATATATATGTAAAGCGCTGTGTAAATTGACAGCGATATACAAGTACCTGAAATAATAATAACAGAAATCACCCAAATGGCCATGATCAACCATTTCCCTCCCCTAGTCAGTGCTTCCACGTAAGAGCTAACAAACTCATTGAGTATACACTGACACTAATTGCAATTTAAAAAGCCTCAGATGTGGGACATTAACCTCTAATTGGCATTTGAACCCTTGTGTGTCTGTACCAAGGCCAGACATTCCAGAGGGCGGAGACTTCTGATCCGGGCCATTTGGGTGATTTCTGTTATCATTATGATTTAAAAAGGAGCCAAACAACTTTGTGACAATAAATGGCTTCATATGATCATCATCCTTCAATAAAAGAGCATTTTTTGGCCTGATCAGTCATATTTTCAATATCAATGCCAAAATTTCACAATTTCTGCCAGGGTATGCAAACTTTTGAGCACAACTGTATACCTGCGATCAGAGGCGTCCCTAGGGTTGGTGACACCCCTCCAACGATCCCCGCAGGATGGATCAGATCTGCGGATTGAGCATAATGGATCAGACTCCGATCCATTATGCTCCCCAGTTCGCAGATCCGATCCATCCTGCGGGGATCATCAGCTTGCTTTAGACAGTGTGTATAATTCAGTATACGGGATATATAGTATATGTATAGTACAGGGTATAATGCTGTATAGGGTGCGTAAGAAGGTGTGTGTGTATATATGGGTGTAAGCAGGGGCGGACTGACCATTTGGAAACTCGGGCACTGCCGAGGGTCCGGGGTCAGTAGGGGGCCCCATGAGATGCCCCTAGTACCTTTTTCATGGGCTTTTTTGAGTTTGGGCAAGGACACAGGGGCCCCATGATCCCCTATTGCCTGTGGGCCCCATGAGTTGTCAGTCCGTCCCTGGTCACCCCATATAGGTTGCATGCCGACAATCCCCGCAGGATGGTTCGGATCTGCGGATTGAGCATAATGGTTCGGAGTCCGATCCAATATGCTCCCCAATCCTCAGATCCGATCCATCCTGCGGGGATCGTCGGCATACAACCCTCACATATACCCAGTTAAGTGACTGGCCTCAGGTGATACACAGAGATGAAACAAATCCTCTTGCATACCCACATGGAAGAAAAATATATTTTAAATATATTTTTTAAAATATTCTTCCCAAATATATTGACATATATTTGAATTGCTACAATTTGGACCGTATTCAATATATTTCAATAAAAAATAAAAATAAATTTATATATATATATATATGTGTATATATATATATATATATGTGTGTTTATATATAATATATATATGTGTGTGTGTTTATATATATATATATGTGTGTGTGTGTATATATATATATATATATATATATATATATGATGATTTTTAGGTGACAGGTTCTCTTTATTGAGACGCACAGGGTCTAAAAGACCCCCAATGTCTCCTCTGATCTCCTACTTGTATCCCTGGCTATTCTATCTGGGAAAATTAACAGCCATGACCCGGAAGTCATACATGTGTCCTCTGGTCACAGAAAAAAGAGGAGGATAGTGGACAAATGAGTCTCCCCTCCCCACCATAGTGCTCCCCAGGCCCGCAGGTGGGCAAGCGGGACCAGGATACATGGTGGGAGTGCGGGCACGTGGGGAGGGGGAGTGGGCACCGGTACCAGGGGCTGTGGAAGCGATTGGATGGCAATGCAGGAGTCTGCCAGTCAGTTTTATACACAATCCCGGTGGCTGTATGGGGGGGCGGTGGTAGTGGAAGGCTCTCTCGGGTGGGGGGGGGTGTTGCTGGTCAACGTCAGGCTCTCTTCATGGGCGAGGGGGGTGTTGATCGGTGTCAAGGTTTCTTCGTGGAGGGGAGGCAGCACGAAACCAAAATACACCACTGGTCACAGCATGCTGAAAAATAAAATAGTGAAAAAAAAGGAAAAATGTAATAAAAGATAAAAAAAAAATAGAAACACTTGAAAAAAAAATACAACTTCAATTATTATTATTTTCACCAAAGAAATGTAGCAGAATACATTTTGACCTAAATTTATGAAGAAATGTTATTTATTTGCAAACTTTTATAACAGAAATGAAGAAAAGTGCATTTTTTTTTCAAAAGTTTCAGGTGTTTTTTTTTGTTTTATTTAGCAAAAAATAAAAAACTCAGTGGTGATTAACCCATTGGCGCCGTCGCCTCCCGGCTGTCAGGGCAGGGCTGTGGAACGGACAGGTAGGCCTAGTGGCAGGGTAACGCACTGGCTGACGACAACCACCACCAACAGACCGAAGTCCCTCAGGGCGCGGAGTCTAAGTCCCAGGCTGCCCTTCACCAGGGCCCCTGATGGTGGGGATGGACTTGACGCAGCCAGGAACCAGGTCGCGGCCCCCAAGACACCCCGGCTGCGGTAATGGCCGCCGCCAATGGCGTGTAGCTGGTGAGAATGACAATAGCGTAGTCAGGCAAGCTGGGTCAACAACAACGGGACAAAACAGTACAGAACAGTAGATAGAGAATCACAGGTCACGGGCCGGGTTCAGCAACGGAAGGTCAGATCGAAGGAAAACACAGAGAATGGTCTAGTCACAAGCCGAGTCAAATACCAGAAGAGTCACGAGAGTATACACAGAGCTGTAGTAAGACAAAGACACAAGACACAAGTGCAAAGAGCATGTGCGGACCACAGGCTTATATGTACTCAGCCACACCCCTCTGGGGGATGGACCTCAGAGACCTGAAGGCATAAAAGCTTCCCACCATGCTCAGCATAAATCCAAGATGGATGCCAGCACATGGAGTAACATAACCTCTGGGAAAAGGTAGGACCTTGACACCGGCCCTTTAAAGGGTTGCGGAAGCCAGGAGGTGAGGCGGGCGGGGTTTTAGGGACATGTGACCGCCGTGATTCGCCATCACGGCGGTCACATGATCGGGAAAGGTCCCAATCAAAAGAGGAGATTGGGACCTTTCCGTGAATACTAGACATGTGTGCTGGGAGTGCTCTCAGCACATATGTTTTTCTTAATTGCACGCAAATGTGCTGCTGCTCGGTGTCAAGGCCTAGACGCCGGGAGGCCGCACATTTGCGTGAGGCCGGTACCAAGAGGTTAATGCCACCAAAAGAAAGCTCTATTTGTGTGAAAACAATGATAACAATTTCATATGGGTACAGTGTTGCATGACCACGCAATTGTCATTCAAAATGCGACAGCGCTGAAAGCTGAAAATTGGCCTGGGCATGAAGGGGGTAAAAGTGCCCGGTATTGAAGTGGTTAGACTTAGTGAATAGCCCCAGAACCTGTGTAATTAATATGTGTTCGGGTTTAAAGAGATGAGGTGGCCACCCTATCCCAAATGTGTAGCCGTCTGGATTTCTTCATTGTACAAGCCATGATGAAGGGGGACTGGTGAGCCCCTGAAATGAGTCGAGACACCTGTGACTCTCACTTTGGCAGATAAAAATCAAGCGGGCCCATTGAACTTAGCTGGCACTCTCAGTTCTCTGAACGTCTTCATTTCTATTGGCAGAGGTTCTAACCCCTCTGACTCTATACCAAGGTTCTGGTTGGAGTTGGGTTTTTGGTGAACCAGATATATATGTAGAGAGGCTCTTTAACACGGCCGAAAATCCTTCCTTGCACGTTTCCCAGGCGAGAGCAGTTTGAGGAAAAAACACAATGGGGAAAGTGAGCGTTCAGGAAAAGAAGCTTCCGCCTTAGTAATCCGTCCTTTTTCGTGTATACGGAGTGGCGAATTCACTGAGAGGGCACGATGCATGTCACCAAAGGACCCTTGCTGCACAATGCACATGTCTCCCGACCAGGGGCGGACTGACAACTCATGGGACCCCCGGGCAATAAGGGATCATAGGGCCCCTGTGTCCTTGCCCAAACTCAAAAAAGCCTATGAAAAAGGTACCAGGGGCATCTCATGGGGCCCCCTATTGACCCCGGGCCCTCGGGCAGTGCCCGAGTTTCTAAATGGTCAGTCCGCCCCTGCTCCCGACTGTCCGTCTGATCCCTCTCTCTCTCTGTCATGTATTTATAGACACCTGGAACAGCCTGGGAAGAAAAAAAAAATACATGGCACATAAAGGCAGAGTTTGCAACACCGCTGCTCTCCCGTGGTACTCAGCAACACAATTGTTTTTTTGCAATTCAAAATGGCTACTTGAGCCAAAAGCCAAAAAAAATCTTTTTCAGTTGAGTCAGTTAGAACCTCAGGTTTTAAATCTGGTGTCTCCGCTGGGAAGATTTTTGCTCACTTCCTGTCCCAGAGGCACCAGAGGAAGTGGGAGGAAATATCAAAGTGTAGGGAAATCCCTTCTTTGCCAGTTGTCAGTGGAACAGAGTCCCTGTTGGGAGATGTCCTCAATGGCGTATCATCCAGTGTATATGTGTGGGTGGGGCACATAGGCCATGACAGGAGGGGTGCCCACTGTGCTCTGTCACACACTGCACACTGATCTCCCAGGGTACCACCGATTCAGTTAGTCTAGAGGGTCTGATACTGGGGGACAGTCTGTTCATCAGTACAGTCACCCTAGGTCAGTCTGACCTGGGTGGTTTGTACTGGGGGACAGACTGACCTTATGCTAGGGGACAGATTGACCCGGGGGGGGGGGGAAGGATTGTACTGGGGGACAGAATGACCAGGGGAGGGAATTAGATTAGGGATAGATTGAGTTTGGGGGGAGGATTAAGATTGTACTGGGGGGACAGACTGACCTAAGGGGATTATACTGGGGGACAATTTGACCTGGTGGGGGATTTTATGGCTAGATAAATTGACCCGGGGTAGGGATTTTACTGGGGGACAGACTGACCGGGGGGAGATTAGGCTGGGGACATATTGACCTTGAGTGAAATGATTATACTGGGGGACAAACTGATCTGAGGGGGATAGATTGATTTGGGGGCATGGGATTATATGGGGGGACAGATTGACATTGAGGGTGGATTATACTGGGGGACAGACTGACCTGTGGAAGGATTATACTAACAGATAGATTGAACGTGGAGAGAAGGATTATACTGGGGATATACTGACCCGGTGGAGATTAGGCTGAGGACATATTGACCTTGGGTGGAAGGATTATACTGGGGGACAGACTGACCTGGGGGGGGGATAGACCGATTTGTGGGGATAGGATTATATGGGGGACAGATTGACCTGGAGGGGGATTATACTGGGGGACTGACCTGTGGTAGGATTATACTAACAGACAGATTGAGCTTGGAGAGAAGGATTATACTGGGGATAGACTAACCTGGGGGGGATTGGGGGACAGATTGACTTTAGGAAAGGAGGGGAAGGATTAGACTGGGGAACAGACTGAGCTTGGGGGGGGGGGGGGTTATACTGGTTGGCCTGGGGGGGAAGGTGAAGGATTATTTTGAAGGACAGACTGACCTGGGGGGATCATACTGGGGACAGATTGACCTGGAGGGGATTTTACTGGGCCACAGATAGATCGGGGGGGAATTGTACTGGGGGACAGGCTGACCTGGGGGGATCATACTGGGGGGACAGATTGACCTAGGGGGGAAAGAATTATACTGGGGGACAGGCTGACCTGGGGGGGATTAGACTGGGGACAGATTGACCTTGGGTGAAATGATTATACTGGGGGGCAGACTGACCTGGGGGGGGGCAGTTTGACTTGAGGGGATGGGATTATATAAGGGGGCAGATTGACCTGGAGGGGATTTTACAGGGCCACAGATAGATCTGTGGGGTGAGATTGTACTGGGGGCCTGCTGGGGGACATATTGATCTAGGAGGGAAAGAATTATACTGGAGGACAGACTAACTGGGGGGGGGGGGGAATTGTACTGAGGGACAAATTGACCTTGTTTTATTTAAGCACGCCCCATAAGCCCCTCCTACTTTTACCCACAGTTTAGCCACACCCACTATTTTCCTTTTTTTTTTTTTTCCAAGCAGTGGAGCCCAACTTGCAAACAGGCCCACTGATTTCATATAATTCCTCTTCCTGTTCTGCAACTGTGTGTGTGTATATATATATTTGTTTTTGTGTTTCTTTTTTTTTAAAGAAAGGTGGCAACCCTATCTGTGATCCTCAGCAGCAATCTTATTTCCACACTAGCAATGGTGGCCAATAGAGGACCAGCCAAGAATTTCCAACTTATCCAAAGAAGCTTTCCCTGAAAGACGAGGCACTTCTAGACCACTATAAGCGTCACGTAGCAGAGATTGGTGTGTGGTCACATTATTGCATCATATGGAATTCTGTGCTGCTGCCTCAGGCGATGAAGGCTTCCCGGGTGTAAATGACTCGCATATGACTCAATCCTGAAATGACATTGAGATGCCGGCTCATTCTGCTGACTGGGCATGTCTAGAATGTAAATTGATGAACGGGAGAGCACTGCACATTGTGTGTGTGTGTATTATTATATATACAGTATAAACTATATATGTATATATAAATTTTTTTTTTATATATATATAAAATAAATGTATTTTTTATTATTATATATATATATATTTAATTATATATTTATTTTTTTATTTATTTATTTTTTGCTTGCTATATATTATATTTTTTATACATGTTCAATCATTTCATCACAATAATAGACAAACACTTTACGCTTAAGCTGACAACAACAAACAATTCACATTTTTTTCTATATCTTTATTGAACACATCCACTTGAAGACCAAGCCACTTCCCTCACTTTTTGTTTACATGTTATAATCAGTATTTTTTTTTACTAGAAAATGTCTTAAATCCCCCAAACATTACATCTTTTTCTTTTTTTTTTAAAGCAGAGGCCCCAGAGAATAAATTGTTGGTATTTGCATTTTTTTTATGTCACTCAATATTTGCGTAGTAGTTTTTCAAAGTACACTTTTTAAAATTGTAATGCAAAAAAAACCCCACTGAGCGTAACCATTGGTTTGTAAAATATAAAAGATGACGTTACGCCGAATAAATAATACCAAACATGTCATGCTTTAAAATTGCGCATGTCCCGTGCAACAGCGACAAACAATGTCAATTTTGATATCCATAGGTGACGCTTTAAAAGCCTTCACAGGTTACCACTTTAGATTTACAGAGGAGGACTGGTGCTAGAATTACTGCCCATGATCTGACATTCGCGGTGATACCTCACATGTGGGATGATCACTGTTTACGCACGTGCGGGGCCAGGGACGGACTGACAACTCATGGGGCCCCAGGGCAATAGGGATCATGGGGCCCCTGTGTCCTTGCCCAAACTCAAAAAAGCCTATGAAAAAGGTACCAGGGGCATCTCATGGGTCCCCTTACTGACCCCGGGCCCTCAGGCAGTGCCTGAATTTCCAAATGGTCAGTCCGTCCCTGTGTGGGACTGACGTGTGCATTCGCCTTTGCACGGGAGCACAGGGGGAACAGAAGCAATTTTTTTTTTAATTATTAAATTTTTTTTTTATCACTTTTATTGCTGTCACAAGGGATGTAGTCATCCCTTGTGACAGCAATAGGCAATGACAGGTACTCTTTATGGAGGGGTCTGGGGTCAATAAGACCCCTAATCCATCCCCTGCACTTACAAGCATTCAAAACATCAAGATCAGTGTTTTTGAATGCTTTTGAGTTTTTAAAAATGGCGCCGGGTAAACCGGACAGGTCATTGCTTCTGGGTTACCATAATGGAGAACTGATCAAAGCTGATTCCCCCCCGCAACAATTGACAACCCAGCAACATAAGACCCATCCAGCAGCAATACCCCCCCCGAAATAATAGATCCCCCACTAGCAACAATAGACCCCCCACCAACACTAGAGCCTCAGCATCAATGTACCCCCACAACAACAATAGATATCCCAGCAGCCTGCATCAGTGGATCCCACCATCAACAGTAGATCCCTCCCAGCAACAACTGACCCCCCAACAACATAGGGCCCCCTGCAACAATAGATATCGACCAGCAACCATAGAGCCCCCAGTAGCCAGCATCAATAGACCCTCCAGCACATCCCAGCACCCAATGCCATTACATTTCAGGTACTCATCAACTGAGGAACAGCTCAACAGACCAAGGTACAGGAAGTCCGCATGAAGGAGAGCGGCACTACTCCGAAAATGTGGGTTGTTGCCAGTATTCTAATCTGCTATTCTAGAAGCTGCCAGATAGACATCCTTCTCACCTGGCAGCCAGTTGTCTGCTCTTTCTCTCCGGCACCATAAACAAACAGAGATAGGATTTACCGATTCCGTTGTGCTTTGGCAGATTCAGTATCGGGCCTGTCGGCCCTCCCAGGTACCTTTTGAGTTCCATTGCTGTAGATCGGAATGTGTCAAAGATACACTATATTGCCAAAAGTATTGGGCCCGTCCTCCAAATCATTGGATTCAGGTGTTCCAATCCCCTCCATGGCCACAGGTGTATAAAATCATCACCTAGGCATGCAGACTGCTTCTACAAACATTTGTGAAAGAATGGGTCGCTCTCAGGAGCTCAGTGACTCCAAGCGTGGTCCCGTGATAGGTTGCCACCTGTGCAATAAGTCCATCCGTGACATTTCCTGGCTACTAAATATTCCACGCTCAACTGTTAGTGGTATTATAACAAAGTGGAAGCAACTGGGAACAACAGCAACTCAGCCACCAAGTGGTAGGCCACCAACTGTCTGCAGATTCAATAGCTAAAGACCTCCAAACTTGGTTTGGCCTTCAGATTAGCACAACAACAGTGTGTAGAGAGCTTCATGGAATGGGTTTCCATGGCTGAGCAGCTGCATCCAAGCCTTACATCACCAAGTGCAATGCAAAGCGTCAGATGCAGTGGTGTAAAGCATGCTGCCACTGGACTCTAGAGCTGTGGAGACGTGTTCTCTGGAGTGACCAATCATTCTGTCTGGCAATCCAATGGACGTGTATGGGTTTGGAGCCTGACAGGAGAATGGTACTTGCCTAACTGCATTGTGCCAAGTGTAAAGTTTGGTGGAACGAGGATTATGGTGTGGGTTTTTTTTCAGGGGTTGGGTTTGGCCCTCTCTAGTTCTAGTGAAAGGAAACTCTTAAGGCATCAGCATACCAAAACATTTTTGACAATTTCATGCTTCCAACTTTGTGGGAAGAGTTTGGGGATGGCCCCTTCCTGTTCCAACATGACTGCGCACCAGTGTACAAAGCAAGGTCCATAAAGACATGGAGGAGCAGTTTGGGGTGGAGGAACTTGACTGGCCTGCACAGAGTCCTGACCTCAACCCCATAGAACACCTTTGGGATGAATTAGAGCAGAGACTACGAGCCAGGCCTCCTCCCCCGACATCAGTGCCTGACCTCACAAATGCTTTTCTGGAAGAATGGTCAAACCTTCCCATAGACACCCTCCTAAACCTTGTGGACGGCCTTCCCAGAAGAGTTGAAGCTGTTATAGCTGCAAAGGGCGGGGCCAACTCAATATTGAACTTTATGGACTAAGACTGGGATGTCATGAATGGTCATGTGCGTGTAAAAGGCAGGCCGACCAATACTTTTGGCAATATAGTGTAGGTGTGCTGGCAACTTACCGTGTCAAATATGATTGCTGCACCTTCACAATCTGTAGGATGTCTTATCCCAGTGCCATACATCAGTTTATTTAACTTCCACTTTAAGATTCCCATGCACGTACGACCAAAACGTTTTTTAGGAGTGGTTGTGGCTAGAGTGAAAAGGGATAGGCGCTAGATCTTCCATTAATGTTGAAAAAGACCTCCTTCTTGATAAGGTTTGCTTGATTTGGTGAGGCAGCTCAGATATTCCAGAGAAACCCTGAAGAGCCAGGAAGTCTTTAGAAAAGTAGAACTGTATAGAAAACAGAAAGGGTGCCATCAAAGATCAGGAAGGGTGCCAACAAAGATCAGGAAGGGAGCCATCAAAGATCAGGAAGGGTGCCAACAAAGATCACGAAAGGGTGCCATCAAAGATCAGGAAGGGTGCCATCAAAGATCAGGAAAGGGTACCATCAAAGATCAGATCAGATCAGGAAGGGTTCCATCAAAGATCAGGAAGGGTGCCATCAAAGATCAGGAGGGTGCCATCAAGATCACAAAAGGGTGCCATCAAAGATCATGAAAGGGTGCCATCAAAGATCAGGAAGGGTACCATCAAAGATCAGTAAGGGTTCCATCAAAAGATCAAGAAGGGTGCCATCAAGATCACAAAAGGGTGCCATCAAAGATCACGAAAGGGTGCCATCAAAGATCAGGAAGGGTGCCATCAAAGATCACAAAAGGGTGCCATCAAAGATCAGGAAGGGTGACATCAAAGATCACAAAAGGGTGCCATCAAAGATCACGAAAGGGTGCCATCAAAGATCAGGAAGGATGCCATCAAAGATCAGGAAGGGTGCCATTAGAGATCAGGAAGGATGCCATCAAAGATCACGAAAGGGTGCACGAAGATCAGGGGGTGCCATCAAAGATCACAAAAGGGTGCCATCAAAGATCACGAAGGGTGACATCAAAGATCACAAAAGGGTGCCTCAATGATACGAAAGGGTGCCATCAATAGAAAACAGAAGGATGCCATCAAAGATCAGGAAGGGTGCCATTAGAGATCAGGAAGGATGCCATCAAAGATCACGAAAGGGTGCCATCAAAGATCACAAAAAGGTGCCATCAAAGATCCATCAGAAATTATATCCTCAGATGATATAGAAATCAAAGAAAACAGAAGGATGCCATCAAAGATCAGGAAGGGTGCCATCAAAGATCATGAAAGGGTGCCATCAAAGATCACGAAAAGGTGCCATCAAAGATCACGAAGGGTGCCATCAAAGATCACGAAAAGGTGCCATCAAAGATCACGAAAGGGTGCCATCAAAGATCAGGAAGGATCCATCAAAGATCAGGATGGTGCCATTAGAGATCAGGAAGGATGCCATCAAAGATCACGAAAGGGCGCCATCAAAGATCACAAAGGGTGCCATCAAAGATCACGAAGGGTGCCATCAGAAATTATATCCTCAGATGATATAGAAAGTAGAACTATATAGAAAACAGAAGGATGCCATCAAAGATCAGGAAGGGTGCCATCAAAGATCATGAAAGGGTGTCATCAAAGATCACGAAAAGGTGCCATCAAAGATCACGAAGGGTGCCATCAAAGATCACGAAAAGGTGCCATCAAAAATCACGAAGGGTGCCATCAGAAGATATAACCTCAGATGATAAAGAAAGCAGTAAGAACACCACACCAATGATCAACAAGTCCAAAATGATCTTTTATTAGACAATCAGTAGAAATCCAACACGTTTCAGGGTTTAGGCACTCCCCCTTCATCAAGGGTTATGTATTATGTAACCTTAAATATGGATGGTGCCAAGATTTGACTATATACATGGTACTATTATTACAATCCAAAAAAACAGTCCAGCTATATTTGAGGTTACATTATCCCTGATGAAGGGGGAGTGTCTGAACCCCTGCTACCTCCTCTACTTAGTTTGGTATGTGCACCGGTGCTCAGGTTTTTGGCCGCGCTGTGAGCCCTGTAAATATGGAATCTTGATAGGATGCTGGCAGTTTGGTAAAATCCACAAGCAAGTAGCCTTTAAGAAGAACATAGTATAAAATCCACACAAAGCCCCAACGCGTTTCGCCCACTATACCTCCCCAAAAGGGGCGGTTCCACTTTAAGGCCTCCTCCCCCACTCCTCTTTGACATTTGGAATTTATTCTTTGGGGGGGGGAGGGCTGGTTTTGACAGGTACCCGCTCCCACCTCTGCATGGTCCGCCCCCTAGGCAATCTGAGTGGAAGTTCTCCTCTTCCCCTTCCTCCCTGCAGTCTTCTGGGGCACATGACAGGTCCCGGAAGGCTGTGGGACCATTCACAATGTGCAGTCCAGCCTGGGCATGCCCACATGGAAGAAAAATATATTTGACATATATTTGAAATGCTACAATTTTGGCCATATTCAACATATTTCAAAATATAATTCAATAAAAAATATATATATATTATATGTATATATACTGCATATTGAAATGTGTTTTTATTACAAAATATATGAAAAATATTTTTAAAAATACATTTCGAATATACTGTATGTCTTTAAAAATCCAAATCCAAATCCAAATCCATTTTTGGATTGCATTTTTATTTGAAAAAAATCTGAAGAAAATATTTTAAAAATATATATTTTTAAAAATATGTTTTTTCTTAAATTATACTCTTCAGATTTTTTTTAACATATAGAAAAGTCATTTTAACATATTTTTACATATATTTGTAAATGCATTCCAAAAATGTAGATTTGTATTTTTAAATTTATTTAAATATTTTTCATATATTTTGTAATTAAAAACGCATTTCAACATACTGTGTGTATATATATATATATATATATA